CTGTGCCTGTGCGCTGCCGCCGCCTCACCTGCTCATTACCGCCCGGCCCTCTGGGGTGCAGGCCCCGGCACGCCCCCTCCGCCCCACCGGCCCTTAACCCCTTTAAGCGGCATGCAGACCCGGCACTACTGCGCTCACTGTGTTGATGGGGAAACTGAGGCACGGGGCTCCTTGGAGATTTTACCTTCTTCCGGTGCCCCCAATCCCACAACGGGTCAAAGCCAGCAGGGCCTGGTAGTTCAAATCCCAACTTCACCATTTGCAAGCTGTGTGGCTGGGCGGGTTATAGCACCTCCCTGTACCTCAGTTTTCCAAAATGGATCAGGTGAGTTCTGTGCAGCAGGTGTGCCGCTTAGTGCTGTGTGACAAACAGCCCTAACTCGTCTGCCTAAAACAGTGTTTCCGATCAGGAAGCCGGTGGGAGGGCTTGACGGGTGACTGGGGTTGGGTCCCTTACAGGACACAGGCCTTCGGGTCTGGCTGGGCTGGAAGGGCCGCGCTGCAGACTGGGGCCGGTTCTGTCAGACAACTCTGTCCTGGCGAAAGTCCACCCTGTGGTCCTGTGTGATACCGTTTTGTTGTTGATTTGGTGCTGGGGCCAGAGGCCAGGACCTTCACGTCCCCATACCCTTTTCATTTTTAGTTTTAAGAAGCCACTGCCTCCTCCCTCCGCTGTCAAACTCCAACCCTACTTTCAATACTCCGGCTCCTTCCGGCTACTCTACTGCAGAAGCTTCGGCCCTATTTTCAGTGCAGAGAGAGCTTAAATAACATTTCAGCTGGGCATGGGGCCGCAGGCCTGTATTCCCGCCACTGGGGAGGCTGAGGCAGGAGGATTGTCTCGAGCTTAAGCCCACAACCCGGGCTGTAAGGTGAGACAGTCTCAAAAAATGAAAAAAAAAGAGACCAGGGATTTAGCTCAGTGGCACCACACCTGCCTTGAAAGCCCAAGGTCATGAGTTCCATCCCCAGTACCAAAAGAGCAAAAGGAAGAAATCTAATGCCAAAGAGGAGCATGAAGTGACCAAAGGTTAGAAAAAGCCACCAGAGGAAAATTAAGTCAACACAGGTTCCATAGGGGTCAGAAAAGCTGCAGTGCTGCCGGGTCTGAGTGACCCCTTCCTGCCGCTGCTGTGGGCAGAGGTCTAAAACCCGCCTCACAGGCCGGGGAACTGGCTCAGTGGTTCCACCGCCTGCCTGCCTTGCAAGCACAAGGTCTGGAATTTCATCCCTGGTACCAAAAAAAAAAGCAATAAAACCGTCTCACTGGGTCTCACTGGGTGGAAATGAAGGTGTCGCTGGGTCCCACTGCCACCCCCAGCTCTAAGGAGAATCCGTTTCCTGGCCCTTCCACCACCTACAGGACCGCTCTTTCCCTCCGCTGTCCCTCGGATTTCCGCTTCTACAACCCAATCTCTGTATCTCTCACTTTCATTTTTGTGTTTTTGTAGGAAGGGTCTTGCTGTGCTGTCCAGGCTGGCCTCAAAAACACAACAATCCTCCTGCTTCAGCCTCCCGAGTGCTGAGATTATAGGAATGCACCACCACGCCTGGCTCCATTACACCCTTTCCAGCTGTGCTTGCTGCTTCCTATGTCATGTGATGACACCACCCTGTTCGTATGAGGCGCACATGTGTTCATATATGTACTCAGACTGGCCCTGCACTCCCCTAACCTGCCTTGCTCAGGGAACATCTCCCACTCCTCTTTTCCAAGAAAACAGGACTTCTTCTTGTCGGACACCCACTGTATTCACCTGACCCCACTGCCCCCAAATACCCTTCATGGCTGTGTGTCCAATCCAGAACCCCACTCGGGACCACCTTCCATTGGGCTGGTAGAAGTCCGCCATGACAGGCTGTGTCCTGACCCTATGTGCCCAGCTCCTCGGCGAGGCCCAGGCTCCGGAACTGCCCGACTCAGACGCCCCTGTGGAATGGCCCCTACCCAGAATGCCCTGCCCCGGTCACCATGGCCACCATTCTGGTCTCCCCAACAACCCCTCCCAGTTCCGGTGGCTTTCTTGGCTCAGAGGCCAGGGAAAGGCGCGAGGTCCCGGGAGCCCCGAGCTGAGGACCAATGGCCATGAACTTTCAGGAAGTGAGGAGGTGGGGGGCGCGAGTGGGCGGCGGAGGGGCCGGGCCTGACCTCTGTCTTCCCTGCCCAGAACGTGACCCTGGCCGTAGCCGTCTTCACCATCCTCGCCTCCATCTACTTCTTCAACAAGGTGAGGGCCAGAGGGCGCAGAGGGGCCCGGCCTGTGTCCCTGCTCCCCGGTTTCGGCCTGGTCTCTGACCCCTCACTGGGCCTCCTGTGCTCCCCCAGGCTCAGCAGTGATGGTCGCCAGCTCGCCTGTCCAGAGCTGGCCTCTGCCGCCTGCACCGTGACCATGGCCTCAGTGACCGAATAAACAGAACAGCACCCGCGCAGACTGTGTCCTGTCCGCTCTCGAGCACCTCAGCCTGCTGCCCGCGGAGGGCCAGGCTGCGAGTCTGAGGGAGGAGGCAGGGCCTGCGTCCCGGTCCGGGGGAGGAGGGTGAAGGCTCAGCCCCTCAGGATGGAGGAGGGCTGGCCGGGACCCGAGCCCGGGGGCTGGCAGAGCGGGCTGTGGAGAACGTTCCCACCCTGACTGCATGAGGAGAGGCGCGCTGGGCGGCTACAGCCTGGCACTGAGGCAGCTCGCTTTGTGCTTAATTCTCGTTGCTTCCCTTCAACCCCTAGTTTTCTTCTGTGTCAGGCAAAAGTGACGGACTTTCTTTTATTGCCCCCAAAAGGCCACAGCACAATCATCAAAATTGTGAGTGGGCTTTGTAAGTGGCTGAGTCTGTCATTTTCTTCTCTTGTCCATCCCTTTTCTCTTTCTGTGCTGGGGCTGAAACTCAGGACCTAGTGCCTGCCAAGCAGGTGCAGTGCCGCTGAGCCACATCCCCACCTCGTCATTATCTTATGGTAGCAACACATCTCGGCTTTCTCCTCTTAGAAACTCCTATTCAACCTTCAATACCTACCGTTAATGCCCCTTAGGGAAGTGCCCAGAACCCCAGATAGGCTGTGTGTCCGCAGCCACTGATTACTGCCCCCTTCCTCACCCCATCTCCATCCCAGCACACCCAGGTGAATGTCCCGGGAGACACCACAGGCTTTGATTGAGGAGACTTTACCTTCTCACTTGGTAAGAAGCAATTTCATTTCAATTCAGTATTGGCTATGGTGGCTTCTGAATAGAGAGAACGTGAGTTTCCAGGAAAAGGGGGGCCTGAAATTTCAATGAGAAACAGACTCATAGTGAAAGCGTGATTTCCCCCGGATGAATATGATTTTTTGCATTACAAACACTGCCAGCCAATGATTTGTTAACAGCACCGTTTAATCCTCGAAAACGTCCAGCTTTGACGGGGCCTTGGTTGCAAAAACACGAGCTACCACACGGAGGCGGTGTCGCACTGTTTTCCCACCAGAGGACCGACAGCGGCCCTGCTCGAGAAACCTCAGCAGTAAGGTCTGCGGGGCCAGGCGTCACCTGCAGGCCTCCAAAGGCCCTTTCCCTACCTGCAGGCCGCGCTCCCCCTGGACAAGGAGTTCTGGGTCCCAAGGACAGGAGCCCCAGCCCTTCTTGGCCTGGCGGTGGAGACCCTGGGTATCATGTTTTGATTTGTTGAGTGGTTGTGGTTTTCTGCAGGGTCTCGCTGTATAGCCCAGACCTTGAATCCTTTTCAGGCTGGCCTGACCCTTCTGCCTCAGCCTTCTGAGTACTGGGATTGCAGAGTGAACCACCCACCAGCTCAGCTGTTTCTGTTTTATTTTGTGGTGCTGGGAGTTGAACCCAGGGCCTTCAAATGGAGCTGCACCCAGCCCTTTTACTTTTTTTCTTCTTTTTTTTTTTTTTAATTTTGAGACAGGATCTTGTCAAATCGCTAAATGGCTCGGGTTAGGCTCAAAGTTGCGATCCTCCTGTCTCAGCCTCCCAGACTGCTGGGCTCTCAAGCATAAGAGTCGGGGGTTTTTTGTTTTTCTAATCCTTCCCACTTCCCCTGGTCCCTCACCTCCCCACACATAACTTGAAAAGGATCAGCCAGGCTCCCATCCTGGAAGCTGCCCCTCCCCAGACCCTCCCCCTAGCATCCCCTCCTCTGGGGGACAATGTCAGAAACAAAGGCAACACAGGCAGTCCTGGGGCACCCTCTGGATGTCTCAGAGCCTTGAGGCTGTTGTGGCCAGGCTGTCCTGGTCAGGTACAAAGATGGACGAGTCCACAGCAGGGTGGAAATCCCTGGGGAGCCCAGCTGCAGCCCCGAGGATCTGAGGTGAGGATGCTGTAAGCTCCTGAGCCTGCCTCGCCCATGCAGCCACAGCCGAGCCAGGCCGGTCATCCCAGATCCCCAGCAGGCTGAGGCAGGAGGATCACAAGGCCAAGCCTAGTCTGGCAATTTGTGAAGACCCCAGACTCGAATAACAAAAGGGCTGGGGATGTAGCTCCCCAGACAGGCCCTCAGTTCAACCCCTGTGCCATAAAAAGAAAAAAATGTGAAGCAAAAACTCACCTTTACTGCAGAAATATTTAGAAGTTATAAAGTAAAAGAAAGAAAATAAGGTGGCTTCCCAGGGCCGGTCAGGGCAAGCACAGAAAAAGCCTTTGGATTTTCACTGTGAGCAAGAAAATGCAGTGGGGTTGACAGGATACATGGGGGCCGCTGCTGCCTCTTGGGGCTCTGTCCTCCCAGCCCCAATGCAGTCGGTCCCACGTGCGTGGCACAGATCCCCGCCTGTCCCCAACTGGGCACTGAAGGCCCCACCCCTCAGGAACCACTCAGTCCTGCTAAGGGTGGTGGCGCACACCTGTGATCCCAGCACTCGGAAGGCTGAGGCGGGAGGATCGCCAGGAGTTTGAGGCCAGCGTGGGCTACACAGTGAGACCCTGTCTCAAAACACGACAACAAAAACAAAACGAAAGCACGATTTGCAGGGGTAAAGCTCTACTTAGGAAGTCAAAAGGAAGACACGAGCAGGACCGAAGCTTAGGCTACAGAGGGCTGCCCCTGTCACAGGGTCAGACTGGTCACACACAGGCAGGGCAGCTACAGCGGGCCAGGCCCCGGTCAGTTTCACTCCAGTCCTGGTCCCCCTCATAGCTCAGGTGAGTTCTCGCATCTTAGGCAAGTCGGTGCCATGGGAGGGGTCCTCATGGCTTGAGTCCAGGCCGGCGTTGAACTCACAGCGATCCTCCCGCCTCAGCCTCCAAAGTGCCGGGATCACAGGCGAGTGCCATCACAGCCCACTCTTCGAAGGGCTAAGCCATCCCATAAATCCCTTCCCTGGCGCCCTCAGTCTTGCAGGGCTGTGACACGGACTGGACACTTTCGGGTCAATAAAGCCAGTGTTTTGCCAGCGCTGGGATGGGCACTGCCTGCGTGACAGCTGCTCTGAGGGCGACTGTGGCTGGAGCGTCCTGTGGGATCCTGCTCCTCACGCTTCAGTCCCTGTGGGGCTTCCGCAGGCCGAGCGAGTCATGATTTCTACCCAGAGCTGCTTGGAAGTCCGGGCTGTCCCGGAGAGGACAGAGCCGTGCTTTTGAGCAGAGGCAGGCGGAGGCCCAGGAGTGTGCGCCTGGTCCCCGCCGCCTCAGTGTCCGGGCC